CAATTAATTTCTAAGGAGTTTAGCAAATTAGCTATTAGTGTATCACTATTAGTATATCACAGCCCGTGCCACTGGGCCGTGTTTTGGGAGGAGAAAAAGAATTTGTGTTTAGGTGGTTGACACATCGGCTGTTTGCTCATATACAGGGTTTTGAGCTACTTGGTTCAACTTAGAAACTTCAAACAGTGAACAGTCTAAATTCCTTTTTTGCCATCCTCTCCTGTGACATGTTTGAAGTAACCGCCTGTCATCCGTTCCAGTGCCTCATCTCGTAGGCTCTGCAACCCTGTCTCGTCTAGTGCCCGCGTCCGGCTTCCACTGGCCTGTTCGCAGCACTAAGTGTTCCATGTGTGCTAAGCATTGTGGGAACACCATGTGCTCTACCTGGATACGTAACCATCACCTCCTAACTCCTGATGTTCATTCTTCCACCACAGCTGACTTTCCTTGCTGACTACTGCTCTTCTCACAGTTCTAGTCCCCCAGCCATGGCTCTTAATTCCTCCCAGCAAGGGCTCCCTACCCTCTTTTCTCTTTGAGATGAGAGCCAGAATTATCTTCTTTATGAAACCCATTAAGGTACTAAGACTTCTTTATACCCCCAGATGTGTTGGAAAGAAGGCATATTTAATAAGCGTCAGTGCATTTGAGGAAATAATACATCATGGGTTAGCAAACTGGCCCACAGGGCAAATCAAGCCATGAGCTATTTTTGTAAAATATTTACTGGAACATATCCATGCTCATTTGTTTATGTATTAACTGTGCTGTCTTGCTGCTGAGATCACATGGCCTGCAAGACCTGGAATATGTACTCTCTGGCCCATTAGAGAAAAAGTATACCACCAGCCCCTGTTCTAAGTGAACATTTGTTAAACCAGAGGACGCTGGGAGTTGTGCCCAAGCTTCAGATGATCTTCTGTATCAGGCCAGCATATATATAGCCCATTCAAACAAGAATAATACGTTTTCTGAAGCCTACGTGGTTTGTATGTTCATAACCAAAGGCAGGAGATAAGGCAGCACGCTTTTCATTAAGCCTGTTTTAAATCTTTTTGACATTAGCATAGTATATTTTTCATTTGTAGCGCTTGGAACTTAGAGATAAGGTATCAGGTAGTTCGCTTCTAATTCTTTTATGCTTCTGCATTTTCTGATATCTTGAATGCAGAGGATTGGATGTAAACTTTTGTCTGTGGCTGAAACCAGAATCCTCCTTGTTAGTGTAACTAAACAGTAGTAATTTCCCAAAACTTCACTTATTAAGAGTATTAAAATAATGCTTCAGATGTATTCTCTGCCACCTCTTCTCTGAAAAGTTTACGTATTGACCAAGAAAAAGAGTATTTCCTTTCCCTCTGTTTAGATCATACTTATATTTAGAAAATCCAAAGTCCTGTTTTAACCCTCGTTTTAAGTTTTTCCTCATCACTTACTAGTAACAAAGGTTGAAATGCAGCAGATGGTTAAGAGAAACTTAAGGACTGTATCCTCATCTTGGGCCCATACAAGTTTATGTTTGGATAAAATCTCATCTGGAGCTGTACTTTCTCCTTAGCCAGAATTTCAGTGATGAATCCCCGGATTCCAGCAGCCGTTCCAAAGGGAAGAATTGAAAAAGAAAAGAAGGGTTAGAAATAGTTAAGCATGGCACAAAAAGAGACACTCAGATTAATGGAACAGAATAGAGAACCCAGAAGTGGACCTACAAACATGTGGCCAACTAATCTTTGACAAAGCAGGAAAGAATATCCAATGGAATAAAGACAGTCTCTTCAGCAAGTGGTGCTGGGAAAACTGGACGGTGACATGCAGAAGAATGAACGTGGACCACTGTCTTAGACCATACACAAAAATAATCTCAAAATGGATGAAAGACCTCAATGTAAGACAGGAAACTATCAAAATCCTCCAGGAGAAAGCAAGCAAAAACCTCTCTGATCTCGGCCGCAGCAACTTCTTACTCAGCACATCTCCAGAGGCAAGAGAAACAAAAGCAAAAATGAACTAATGGGACCTCGTCAAAATAAAAAGCTTCTGCACAGCAAAGGAAACAGCAAAATTAAAAGGCATCCGACAGAATGGGAGAAGATATTTGCAGAAGACATATCAGATAAAGGGTTAGTATCCAAATCTATAAAGAACTTCTCAAACTCAACACCCAGAAAACAAATAATCCAGTGAAAAAATGGGCAAAAGACATGAATAGACATTTCTCCAAAGAAGACATCCAGATGGTTAACAGACACTTGAAAAAATGCTCCACATCACTCATCATCCAGGAAATACAAATCAAAACCACAATGAGATACCACCTCACACCTGTCAGAATGGCTAACATTAACAACTCAGGCAACAACAGATGTTGGTGAGAATGCAGAGAGAGAGATCTCTTTTGCATTGTTGGTGGGAATTCAAGCTGGTGCAGCCACTCTGGAAAACAGTATGGAGGTTCCTCAAAAAATTAAAAATAGAACTACCCTATGACCCAGCAATTACACTATTAGGCATTTATCCAAGGGATACAGGGATGCTGTTTTGAAGGGACACATGCACCCCAATGTTTATAGCAGCACTATCAACAATAGCCAAAGTATGGAAAAAACCCAAATGTCCATCGATGGATGAATGGATAAAGATGATGTGGTATATATATACAATGGAGTATTAATCCAAAAGAATGAAATCTTGCCATTTGCAACTATGTGGGTGGAACTCGAGGGTATTATGCTAAGCAAAATTAGAGAAAGACAAATATCATGACTTCACTCATATGAGGACTTTAAGACACAGAACAGATGAACACAAGGGAAGGGAAGCAAAAATAAAAACGGGGGGACAAAACATAAGAGACTCTTAAATATGGAGAACAAATAGGGTTACTGGAGGGATTGTGGGAGGGGGGATGGGCTAAATGGGTAAGGGGCATTAAGGAAACTTAATCCCTGAAATCATTGTTGCACTATATGCTAAAAAATGTAGATGTAAATTAAGAAAATGAAATTTAAAAAAATTTTAAAAAGAAAAAAATAAACTTAAAAAAATAGTTAAGGAAACTAAAGCTTACAGTGAAATACATGCAGCGACTTTTACACTTACGGTTTGGATGTGATAAAAGCAGCTAGGGAATAATAATAATAATAGCCCCAGTGTTAGTAATTGCTCCCTAAATCTGAGAGCTGACACTGGGATCCTAGCTTCAGTACAAAGTTAATTATAGTTCTAAGGCTTTACCGGTGATACATTATAAAAAGGAAAGCGTTTTTAAGAAATAATGTTCTGAATAGGCTAAATAAACATAACACAAGAGTCTGTCAGTATCAACCAGAATTACAAGTGCATTCTTCCTCTGACCCAGCAATCCTACTCCGTGCTGTCTCCTACAGATAAAACTGCACATGTGTGAAATTACATGCGCTGCTTTGTTTGGTAGAGCACTGTTTCTCAAAGTGAAAGATTAAACACTATCCAAGTATCCAGCAATGAAGGACTGAATCATGAAATCGGAAAGGATTGAAAGTTAGGCCAGATGAAAACATGCGACTTGACATGCAGATCATCTGCAAAGTAGTATTGAAACTGCAGGCAGGGGCGCCTGGGTGGCGCAGTCGGTTGAGCGTCCGACTTCAGCCAGGTCACGATCTCGCGGTCCGTGAGTTCGAGCCCCGCGTCAGGCTCTGGGCTGATGGCTCAGAGCCTGGAGCCTGTTTCCGATTCTGTGTCTCCCTCTCTCTCTGCCCCTCCCCCGTTCATGCTCTGTCTCTCTCTGTCCCAAAAATAAATAAATGTTGAAAAAAAAAAAAATTAAAAAAAAAAAAAAAAAACTGCAGGCAAAGGGCTAGTAAGTGGGAAAGAACAAATTTGACTGTGTTATAAAATAGCATTTTTTTTTTTTACTTTAATTCCTGAAAAATGTGTAATTGTTTTAATTCCTATTCCCATTTGACTTATGTTCCCATATAAACGGAGGCACCTAGTCTCATAAGAACTACTCTAATTGATTCTTACACTTTGTTCCTTCATCTTTGGGGTGAAGCGACAGGGGTGGGGAGTGATTAGGACAAAAGATAATTAGTACATTTCCTACAAAAATGTGTTTCCAAAGAGGAACAGCATTTCAAATTGTATATCCCATAACTTCTTAAAGAGGATTCAAGAAGGTAAATTGAGGTAGTTAGAAACTTGTTCCCTGAGGAGGTTTGGGTCAGTGAACACAATTATAGACAGGCTCAGACCAACACTATGTATAGAGGACAACTGGGGCCCAGATTCTACATTTCTGTCAGTCAAGTAGAATTTTCTAACAGTTTATATGGAGTAAAGTTTTGTGAAGAGTCCAAGATAACACTCAATTTTGTGGTTATTTTTGATAAATTGTAATATGGCTTACTATGTAAAGAAATTAGGTATGATAGACAATTCGTTTCATGGGAAAAAGAAATCTGCCTTCTAGATGTTTCCTTTGAGTTAAGAAAAATTAAAATCCTGGACATGCAAAACTTGATTGTTGATCTGTGGCCAGGTATTGATGTAAAATGCTTACTAAACTAATAAAGTTCAAATGCATTTCTATGTAATTGCTGTCATAGATCTTGATTTAATTTTTAAATATTTGAAAACTAGAGTATATTTTAAGTTCTGTTTATTTTTATTTGAACAATGATGAGTAGATCATTGCTTTTTGCAGATTCTCTTTTATAGTAATGACTCATCTCTGTAATACTAAACTTTTCAAGAGCTTTTATATAAAGCGTCAGTGTCACGATCACAACAATTCCCTATGGCTGAAGCACTTGTCCTGTTTTTCAAATTTCAAATGTACAGTGAAGGCCCAGAGAGCTTGTGACTTACCTAGTCACATACATCTGATAGAAATATAACTCCAAGTCTTCTGACTCCCGATGTCCTGTGTCCTCACCCTAGCCTTGTATTTGTCCTGTTTATTTTTAAGGTCATGATATTATTGTAGCTGGTTGATAGCGTGCTTTCTGTCTTTTCAGGACATGGCTTTAGTTGCTCCTGAGGCACCTTCAGAACAAGCCAGGAGAGTTTTTCAAACCTATGATCCAGAAGGTAAAAGATTTTATTATTTTATTAACACTGACTCTGTGTTTTCTTTCTTTACAGATTTGAAATATATTAATACCTGAGTTTTATCCAAAAGTGTTTTTAGATTGTTGAAGGAAATGTAGATTGCATTTCTTGAAAATTTTAAAAGGGAAGTGTCAAAATGGGAACAAATAAGGATACTTTAGTGATTGTCAAATCCTCACATAGCATAATAGAAGGTCTGCAGGTTTCTTGGGGGTAACAAAGTTATGGTTACTTGAATCTTGACCTCTGTCAGTGTTAAACGGGAAAATACCACCTTCTGAACAAGGTTTTTGAAAAGGTATTCCTTTATTATTCAAACTAATATTAAGTAAGTCTTCCAGAGTGTTAATTAAAAATTGAAATAAAATTGACAAATAATATTCTGTAAGTTTAAGGTATACCAAGTGTTGCTTTTATAATTTATATATTACAAAATGATTACTACAGTAGCATTAACTGACACCTCCGTCATGTCACATAGTTATAATTTTTCTTTGGTGAGAACAATTAAGATCTAGTCTTGTAGCATAGTATAGAATTTTGTACTATAATCACTATGCTGTGCATTAGCTCTCCCGAACTCATTTATCTACTAGTGGCAGGTAACGTCTTAAACATCTCCCCAATTAATCTACCCTGCCCAGCCCCTGTAACCACCATTCTACTGTTTCACAAATCAATCTTTGTGAGGCATTTGTCTTTTATCTGTCTCATTTACTTCACTTAGTATAATGCTGTCAAGGTCCACCCATATTATTATAGAACGTAGGATTTCCTACGTTGTCATGGCTAATCAATATTCCATTGTTTATGCATATATAAACCACATCTTCTTTATCCATCTATGGACACTTAGGGTGTTTCCATATCTTGGCTATTGTGAATAATGCTGCAGTGACTTGGGTTGTGCAGATATCTCCTCAAATTACTGATTTCGCTGCCTTCAGACAATACCTACCAGTAGGATTGCTGGATCATATGGTAGTTCTGTTTTTAGTTTTTTGAGGAACTCCATACTATTTTTTAATGGGTTACTGTTTTATATTTTCACCAACAGTGTATAGAGGTGCTGTTCTCTCCACATACTCACCAACATTTATCTCATCTCTTTGATAAAAGCCATCTTAACAAGTGTGAGATGATACCTCATTGTAGTTTTGAATTTCACTGTCCTTATTGAACATCTTTTCATATGCCTGTTGTCTGTTTGTATGTTGTCTTTAGAACAATGTCTGTTCAGACCCATGGCCCATTTTTAGTTGGGTTATTTTCTTTTTTGCTATTAAATTCCTTGAATTCTTAATGTTGTGGGTATTAGCCCTTATCAGATAGATGGTTTGCAAAGATCTTCTCCTGTTCTATAGGTTGCCTTTTCAATTTATTGCCTTTGCTCTGCAGAGGCTTTTTAATTTAATATAGCCCCACTTGTTTTAGTTTTTATTGCTTGTGTTTTGGTGTCTTACCCAAGAAATCACTGGCAAGACCAGTGATGAGGATCTTTTTTCCTATGTTTTCTTACAGGAGTTTTACAGTTTCAGATCTTACATTTAAGTCTCTGATCCATTTCAAGTTAATTTTGTGTGGTGTAAGGGATCTGGTTTCATTTCATATCCATTTCATGTGGCTATCCAGTTTTTCCAAAACCATCTATTGAAGAGACTATCCTTTCTTCACTGTATGTTTCTGGCACCCTTGTGAAAAATTAGTCAACCATATATGCATGGGTTCACATCTGGGCTCTCCATTCTGTTAAACTGGTCTATGTGCCTGTTTTTATGCCAGAGCCATACTCCTTTGATTATTGTAGCTGTGTAATGCAGGTTGAAATCGAGTGGCATGATGCCTCCAGCTTTATTTCTCTTTCCCAGGATTGCTTTGGCTACGTGGGGTCTTCTGTGGTTCCAAAGTAATTTTTCCGTCTGAAAAATTCCATTGGAATGTTGATAAGGATTGCATGAAACCTATAGATTGCTTTGGATACTATGGACATTTTCACGCTACTCTGCCAATCCAAGTATATAGGGTATCTTTCCATTATTTGTTAGTCTTCAGTCTCTCATCAGTGTCTCAGTTTTTGGTGTATAAATCTTACATCTCTGTGGTTAAACTTATTTCTAAGTATTTCATTGTTTTCATTGCTGTTGTAAGTGGGATTGCTTTCTTAATTTTTCTTTCAGATAGTCCATTGATGTATAGAAATGCAACTGATGTTAGTATGTTGATTTTGTATCCTGCAAATTTACTGAAATAATTCATTAGTTCTAGCAGTGGTTTAATGGAGTTTTTAGGGTTTTATATTTATGCTAATATATTTATATCATATATATATAATATAAATATGATAATGTCATCTGTCATTCCCACCAACAGTGCATAAATGTTCCCTTTTCTCTACATCCTTGCCAACACTTGTTATTTCTTGTCTTTTTGGTAATAGCCATTCAAAAAGTGTGAAGTGATATCTCATGGTAGTTTTGATTTGCATTTCCCTGATGACTAGTGGTACCTTTCATGTACCTGTTGGCCATCTTTATATCCACTTTAGAGAAATGTCTATCCAGATCCTCTACCCATATTTTAAAAATATTGCATGGGTTTTTTGCTGTTGAGTTGTATGAGTTCTTTATGTATTTTGGATAATAACCCCTTATCAGATACATCATTTGCAAATATTGTCTCCTATTTGGTAGGTTGACTTTTCATTTCGTTGATTATTTCATTCACTGTGTAGCTTTTTAGTTTTATGTACATTTGATTTTGTTGCCTTTCCTTTGGGGTTAAATTCAAAAAGTCATAGCCAAGACGTGTCTTGAAGCTTACCACTTAGAAAACATAAAACTTTTATTAGAAAACCTGATATTATATTCTAGTATTGAATGGGTTAAATTTTTATGTATGGTATAAGATAGTGGTCCAGTTCTGTTCTTTTGCATGTAGCTTTCCACATTTCCCAATACCATTCATAGAAGAGGCTATCCTTTCCTCCTTGTATGTCTTGATTCCTTTGTTATTAATTGACCGTTTATAGTTTCAGGTCTCTGTTCCATTGAATTATGTGTCTTTTTTTATGCCAGTATCATACTGTTTTGATTACTATAACTTTGTAATGTACTTTACAGTCAAGAAGTGTGATGTGTCCAGCTTTCTCCTTTCTCAAGATTTCTTTGAGTGTTTGGGATCTTTGTGTTTCCGCAGAAATTTTAGAATTGTTGATTCTAGTTCTGTGTACTATGCCATTGGTATTTTGATAGGGATTGCATTGAATCTGTAGATTGCTTTGGGTAGTGTAGACATTTTAACAATATTAATTCTTCCAGTCCATAAACACAGAATAGCCTTCTTTTTATTTGTGTTTTCAGTTTCATTAATGTGTTCCAGTTTTCAGTTACAGCTCTTTCACCTCCTTTTAAATTTATTCCTATTTTATTCTTTTTACATAATAGTACATGGAATTATTTTCTTAATTTCTCTTTCTGATAGTTCATTATAAGTGTACAGACGTACAACAGGTTTTTATATTCTGCAACCTCACTGAATTTGTTTAACCACTTTTTTAGTGGAGTGTTTAGGGGATTTTTTTGTGGGTTTTTTTTTTTTAATATAGTGTCATGTCCTCTGTAGACAGTGACAGGTTTAGTTCATCCTTCCCAATTTGGATGCCCTTTTTTTCTCTTGCCTAATTGCTTGGCTAGAACTTCTCATACTGTGTTGAATGAAAGTGGCAAGGGTAGATATCCTTGTCTTGTCTGATCTTAGAGGAAAAGGCTTCAGCTTCTCACTATTAAGTGTGATAATAGCTGTGGGCTAGTCAAACATGGCCTTTATTATGTTGAGGTAGTTCCGTTTATATCCACTATGTGGAGAGTTTTAATCATGAATGGATGTTCATTTTTGGCGACTCTTGAGATGATCATATGATTTTTTATCTTTCATTCTGTTAATATGGTATGTCATATTGGTTGATTCGTGTATTTTAAATTATCCTTGCATCCTTGGAATAAACCCCACTTGATGGTTGTATCTGGTACCTTTTATGTATTGTTTAATATTTGCTAATATTTTGTTGGAGATTTTTGCATCTGTGTTAATCAGGGATATTGGCCTGCAATTTTCCTTTCTTGTGCCATTTTTGTCTAGTTTGGATATCAGGATAATCCTGGCTTCATGAAAGGAGTTAGGGAGTATTCCTGCCTCTTCTACTTCTGGAAGAGTTTGAGAAGAATTGGTATGTATTCTTTCAACATATTTAGAATTCACCAGTGAAGCTGTCGGGTCCTGGACTTGTGTCTGTTGACCGGATTTTTGATTACTGATTCAATCTCTTTACTCACAGTTGATCTGTTTTATGTTTGTAGCAATTTATCCATTTTTTCTTGTCCAGTTGTCCAGTTATTTAGTATATAAATGTTAATAGTAGTCTCCTCTGATCATTTGTATTTCTATGATCGTGGCATCAGATGTCACATCTTCTATTCTGATTTTATTCGAGTCTTTTTTTTTCCTTGATGTGTCTTATTAAAGGTTTCTCAATTCTCTTTTCAAAAAATCAGCTCTTAGTTTCATTCACCTTTTCTGTTTCATTTCTATTTCATTTATTTCCACTCTGATCCTTGTTCTTTTTTCCCTTCCATTAATTTGGGGCTTCATTTATCTTTTTCTTTCTAGTTCCTTGAGGTGTTGGACATAAACAATTCTCTATTACACTTCCAATAGAGGATTTTGAATTTCACTGTATATTCACATTTACCAATGAATTTTATACTTATTTATGTTCTCATGTTACTAATTCAGCATCCTTTCATTTCAGCTTGAAAAAAAAACAGTATTTCTTATAGGGCAGGCTCATGGTGATAAATTCCTCAGCTTTTGTTTGTCTGGGAATATGTTTATCTCTGTCTCCTTTGTGAATGACAGTTTTGCTGGGTAAAGTATTCTTTAACAGTTTTTTCTTTTGAGCACTTTGAATGTAGCATCCCAAA